GTGGCAATTAACACCGATGGTTCCCTGTCATTTCTCCTGATGTCACTGGCTGCCACTGGCATTCACATAGACGTTGTTTTCACGCTTGTCAGTTCGCCGTTGATTATTGGGCGATAAACCTGTAAAATAACACGCAGTGGCTTGGCCATGTATCACTGGAATGGGAGCTTCACGTCCGTGACATTTTTTCGAACTTGTCTTGGTTCCCCACTTGGCACTTGCGCACTAAAGATTGCCCTTTCGGGCTCCCAGTCCTACTAAAGATTGCATTTGCCGGTTCTTGTGCCTCCCAGTCCTAATCTTTCAGCAAGTAAAGAAACTGTGCAGACGTCTCGTCAGTCGTGTCATTTGCCGGTTAAGTACTTGGAACATTTGTTGTCTGGTTGTATATACAGTGTATTTTTAATGGAAGGCATTGCTGTCTGGTTCTCGCGTCAGAAAGTGCAGTGGGATCTAATTTAGTCCTTTGGTGCCTGCTCTTTCCTGCACTCCAGAACTCATCACTTGTAGTACATTATTTCATTCCTTTCTGACTCTTGCTTTTTCAAACCTGCAAACTCCAGTAAGTTAACCCCTTGAAAATTGAAACCTATCTCCCAAAAAGAATATATTAACCCCTTGGAAGCTGCTACCAGGGTTGAAGCCAGTGGCGGAGCCAAAGGTATGCTAGGTATGCACTGGCATACCCTGCAATACCGACAATCATAGTATTATATATAGGTATATCGTATAATGTATAAGTATCTATATTGTAAAAAAACAGAAAATGACTTACCTGGTGGAATCCTAGATCACGCCACCGAGAAAGGCCCACGTCAGGCGGCCCACGTGTTAAGTCCACCAAAGGACCATGAAACGCCCTCATGGCCTGGTCACCTGGTGCCGCCGTGCATACGCAGTTACCCAATTCCACTGCCCACGTGAGTACGGGAGACTTTCCTCCCAATTTCCCTAACCTATCCCTAATGGCCTAATCTAATCTCGATCGGAGGCGACGGAGCGAGCGGATGGAACATCGAAGTGATCGAACATGCCGCCTCATGCCGTGCCGCCTGAACAGTCACACTAATTAGATTATCAGATAGTCACATTCTCATAGAGGTTCGTCATCTACTCGTCTTGATTCTTGATTCGTTATTTTGTTTAGATGAAATCCAAAATTTGTTATTCGGTCTCTTGTGCTATTGGTATTTTTTAAAAAATTATTGTGTACTTCAATAGTAATTTTCAAACATCACAAATAATAAATTGCTTAATTATTTAGTATTGTGTTTAATATTTGTGCTCTTACGAAGAGAAACTCGGATGTTGCGGCCATGTTCGCTTAACTTATCAGCCTGGCTTTATCAGCCATGGTACAGTGTTTTTCTCTCACAACAAATCAGCGAACAATACTTTTCAGCCTGGCTTACTTCTAAACGTTCCCTTGTTCCGGTCGAAACTACGCTGGAAGAGCAGACTCTTGGCAAAGTAATATGGAGTTGTTGTCTTGTATGTCAGCCTTCAATCCTTCTAACTCAAGATATATTTTCTTTGAAGTTGATGAAGATGATATACTCAAGACATTCATGTCTCTTCCAAAGCGTCGAATAAAACATTCAGAAAAATAGCATGGTAAGTCTCTGGTACTCTTTTATGCCTATATTTGAACTATTTATAATGTATTTAGTGGATGATTTCAACTTGATCCTTGAATTTACCGAATCATGTTACAAAATTTACAATTATTACCGAATTGCTAAAATCCATTTACCAAATTGTATATGAAAATTTTTGGATGGCATACCCTAAATTAAAATTCTAGATTCGCCACTGGTTGAAGCCATTTCAGTCAAGCTGTTGTTGTTGCTTCACAAGGATCGAATGGTATGGACACACGGCAAGGCAAAAAGCTGAGACAGATGTAAACGACATTGACTCGAACCATCGTTTTTATTACTAGCTGAAATCGGGTAAGGGTAACTTCAGAGCAAACCGCACTTTAACCCCCTTCTGATTTCCTCATTGTGTCACATCAGTGTTTTGGATTCTACCTCGCAAGTCCGAGGGAGATGACATTGATGCTTTCACGTGCTTCACGCAGGGCCTTTCTTTCCTTTTCTTTTCAGTCTCTACGTGTTTGTTACCTCCCCGGCAGGTTTAGATAGGCGAGTGTGTGGCATGCTTTCAAAGTTCAGGCTGCAGGTTGAGTAGGCCTGCAAGCCAAAGGCACAGAAGAAAACAAAGATCTGGTGCGAGGCTGTGATGCACAGATGCCGGTGTTTATCGTCCTGGAATGACCATCTAGCATAAATTAGCTTCTAAATAATGTTACACGTTTTTTTTTCTTTTTGCGATTACAAGGACAATTGATGAAAAGAACAGCTTCAAGGGATCGTTCTGCCCCCCTTGAGTTTCAGTTTATGCGTCTCCGGCCACCTTTACAGTCTCCATTTCGTTGAGCGAACCCTCGAGAGGAGGAGTGCGGCAGCGGAGCGGCGTATCCACTAGGGGTGGTGTTGTTGTGTAAATGGCAGTGGCATTGCCGGCGAGTATGTTGTTTGGTGGCTGCTCTTTTTTGACATTACCTGGTCATGTTATCCTTCGGCCAATGTCATGGCTTATTATATCTTTTGAATTGTTTGGGTGATGTGTTTCTTTTTCTTGCTCTCTATTGTGTCGGGTTGTACCTTTTGCTTTGTAATCTAGTTGGCCACACATTTTAATGACAAGTTCAGGTTGGTGTCTTGCAGTTTGCCCCACGTTTTAATGACAAGTTCAGGTTGGCAACTTGCCCGTCATAGTTCGCATCAGAAAAAATGATGAAAATCGTGGTCCTATGTTGCTTTCTCTTTTTTTATGACTAGCAAATGTACTAGTGCGTTGCAATGGGACGTTCAACTTGTTATGTGATTATCTAAATGACTTACAATTTAGATATTTATTTAGTGATCACGTCAGGTATTTCAATGCAATTAGAAATTGAACTTTGTATTCTACCTGGACACATGCTGCTCCAACTCGTTTATCCTATCATGAATTTTAATTCGTTTGGGATCAGACTCAGTACTCGTACTTGCACACAAGGAAAGAGTGGCAGACCATGAAAACACCTCGTATTCCAATTTATTATGGAATTTGACTTTGTATCGTGCTTGGACACACTAGTCTAACTTGTATAGGCACGAGAGAGAGAGAGATATTGAGTCCATTGGGTCCCCGTCGAACGACTATGGGCGATGAAGGATGAAGAAACCTTTTGCTCTTTAATAGTTGTAACAAAACATGCTCATGCGTTAGAACGGGACATATAATTTATTTCTGGTGCTTGTGTCAATGATAATGAACTAATTACTTTCGTTGGGACTTGGCCAAAGCTTAAATCAAATAAATTTCAAGGCTCATAATGAATGTTAGTGCAATAAAGGGCTAATCTCATATAGAAAACTGATAGGAGATTGACTCAACTTAAATAAGTGGCTATTTTGTACATCTGTTTTGAGTTTAAGAAAGGTGGACGGCGAGCCAAACATCTGCATGTGTACCACAAGGCTAATCAGCTCGAGTGGTTAGACAAAGAGATAAATGTGGGACACCAATAAAGATTTTGCAGCTCCAAAATCAAAACAAGAAAAGTGAGAGTGAAGGATGATGGGCGAAGAGATGAACCAATGGGGGAGAGTGAGAGATGGAACAACATCTCTGTGGTCACACTCGCCGTAGTAGTGTCAACCTCCAGATGGCCATTTGTGAACGTTTTTCGTGAGGCGGTGCTTAGGGCTAAGACTACAATCTCGCTGTATGCCGAATGCAGTGGCTTTGATTGCAATTCTTGCCTTTTGCAACAAGTTACGGTGTCCCGTGGTGGAGGATGTCTAGCGCGGTGGCTGTGTTTGTTGTGGGTTGGCGCAGTGGTGACATGTCATGCTTGCTTCTACTTGTTGGTGCTTCAACATTCTCCTACTGATGACAGCTCACTGCGATCGTTGCCTTGTCGTCTGACCTCGCTTAGCTACGCTCAGTTCGGTAAGGCAACAGTGGTCTGGGATGAGGCAAGGATGTGGGTGAGGGACTTTAGGGAGAAGGCTTTGCTCGCTCCGTGTCGACGCCATCATTGGTGTTACCTTTGGTCTTATGTTCCACGTAGAAGGTATTGTCGTGAGGTCTCTCACCCTAGGAGGGGTTTGGTTGAAAAAACTTATGCTGGACATTCGATTAGCGTCAGTGGTGTCATGGATGTCATTAGTTCCTTTGTGGAGGCATCGTTAAGGATGTTGTTGTTGTTGGGCTGATTGGGCGCCTGGCTATCGCTGTATTGGTGGTTTTGGTGCTACCGTTGTGAGGATTTTTTTTTTTGTTATTCTGTATTTTTTGAAGTTACTTCTTCTCTACCAATACATGCCCAATAAATTTCTTATCGGTTGCTTTTCGAGAAAAAAAAACGTATAAATGTGAAATAACTTCACGACGGGTACTGGCTGAGTTCGTGACGGGTACCATCTGCTGCGCTACACGATCCAAACGGAATATCCCTGATCTGTGATCTCCAGGCTTTTTGGCGGTTTGGCTGCTTCGTCGGCTCAAGTGCTCAACAGCTGCCAAGAGGTTGACGTCTCATGGAACCGGAGAGATGGAAGAGAAATCTGGCAGCAGTTCAGAGAAAGCAAATGTGTTGCTCTTCCGGTCCTGCTAGCCAGTTTTATTGCTTCCGATGACAGAACACAAGAAACGTACAAGTAAACTCCATTTTCTTATTACTTCTAATACTGGTAATTTACAAGCAAAGGTCTGGCTGATACATATGACTATATATATATATATATATATATATTGGGACCATCCCAAAAATGATCTCATCTGCTGTTCCCCCTTTACATGCTGCACCCCCTCCTGCTGTCGGAAATTCTCGGCCCGGCCATTGCTGGATTCAGTCAGTTCCAGCGTGAGATCATCGGGGAGTGGTGTGTGATCGTCGCGGTCCTGGATGTCGAGAAAGTTCGGCTCCGGAGGATTCGGGAGTTTTACGCGGTGACCGAGGTCTCCATCGCGACGCGTTCGGCGTAGAGCACGTCCTCCTTGGCCTTCTCGGCCTCCTCCCACAGCTCCGGCAGCGCCTCCCTGATGTTGTGGATGCTCTCCAGCGCGTGGTCCGCGCCTTTCACCCGCTGCGATTTGCCCACCAGCACTGTGTGGAGGCCGATCTGCTTCCCGGCCTGGATGTTGCGTACGCTGTCGTCGAAGAAAATCTGCAGCAAATCAATCAGGTAAGCTTTCGTCAGGGACATGGTCAGGCAGAAAAACAATAACAATAAAAAGTTCTTCAGGTGTGACTGCAACGTCAATTACGTTGGGTGCCAGAGCTCGAAAACTTACCGCCTTGTGGGGGTTGACGTTGGCGATCCTGAGCGCCTCCTCCATGGCGTCGACGTTGGGCTTGCACAGGACGGGGGTCTTGGGAAGCCCGTCAGCGGTGCCGGAGCGGGCGAAGTGGCCGGCGATGTCGAAGATCTCGGGTTCCTGGTCACCCTGCGGCGGGCACGGAGGGTTCAGGGTCTCGAAGCAGATGATCCCCTCGAAGCAGTCCTCCAGCCCCAGCCTCTTGAGGGCTCTCACGGCGTGGACCATGTCGCCGTTGGTGAATATCTGAAACACCACACCACAGGTATAATAATTCAGCAACTCCATCTTGTCGGGGGAGGAGAGATTTGTGTCAGTCCGAGGAGGACACTTACGAGTTTGCGGATGCGCAGGTTCTTGAGAATGTGCTTGAGAACAGGGTCGGGCTTGATGTTGTCGTACGGCAGCCTTCCATGGACGAAGGCGTGGTACTCATCGTAATCGAAGCTGTAGCCGATCGCCTGGGGAATCCAAAGGAATGGGGGGAAAAGATGGGGCCTTTTTAGTTCACTGACTCACTAATAGAAAAATCGAGCAATTCAAGGGAAGGGATCAGGGATGCTGCAATATACGCACCCTGAGGCCAGCCATCGTGGTGCCATAGTTCTTGTACAGCAGATTGCCCAGGTTCTCGATCTTGCTCTCATCAATACCCAGCTTCTCAACCATGTAATCTGAAATGAATGGTGGCAAAAGCGAAAAGTTGCAGGCATTCAGTTCAGTTCACTGAAAGTTCAGACAGTAAAAAACAAGCAGCAGTCAGTAACAGCAGGAGAAGAGGAACCTCACCTTCAATATTCTTCTTGACATGGCCTGCGATCCCGGAGCTCAGCGGGTACAGGGTATCATCGAGGTCTGCAGGCAAGCACAAACAGGTCAGAAAACCTTTGCATTCCGTGAAGGGGCAGCAGAGGAACAAGGCAACAGCAGAACGAAACAAAAGTAAGACAGCAACGGGGCGGCGACATTTTTGCAGGAAGTGGAGCAGCAGCGGCTTACCAAAGAGCAGGCAGTCGAACTTGGGCTCCTGGACCTTGTGGCAGCGGTCATCGAACTCCATGTCTGGGGACTGTGGTGAAGAGCGAGCTGCAGAGAGGAATCGAGATTAGCAGGCAGTCCGAATACTTCTCCCGAGAATTCATTCCAACCCAAATTCCAGTTCAGTCATGTCATTATTTACAACCCCCTCAAAATTTTATCATTCTTTCTAGAACCCTGAAAAAACTAAATCATCATTTCCAATCTAACAAGCAATCCCGTCCTTTTCCCCATCCTCGGCGCGGAGTTCATCAGAGCTCTGAACCGACCCACATTTGCAGCGCCCAAGAACGCAAGCATACCTAGCAGCTCAAGCCTCGCGGACTGCAATGCAACAGCTAGCGCAGCGGGAGAGCTGAGGAGCAGCAGTGGCAAGACGGGTCTCGAGGCTTCAAGAGAGCTCTGCGCACCAGAGGCGAGAGAGAGCAGGAGGCGGAGGGGGAGGAGAAGAGGCGGGGGCGGGTGGGTTTATATAGCCGAGCCATGGCTCCCCCGGTCGGAATTAGCAGCCGCGGTTAGCAGCTTGACCAGTCTAATGGCGTGCCCTTGTTAACTCGTTAACCCCAGTTGTTAACAGCCTCCGCAGCAGTGCCGCCCAGCTGTCGCCCCATGATTGGCCTTAACAAACGATGGGGGCAGTGATTTTTTCGCCCTTTCTCCCGAACTGCCCCTCAATCTTTGTGGAAAGGTCTGGGACGGAGCGTGTTGGCTCGAGAGGACATAACAGGAACTTTCATAGCGGAACAAACACGAAATTATATAATGGTTGTATTATGAGATCTCTTGTATTATGTAGTCCATATTTTTATGGACACGGCTGACGCACGCACCGTCATGTAATCAGCATGCCGGACGACGGATGCACATTTCCCCTCCGTCGAGCGCCTTTTGGTTCCTTGGCCAGCGCTCGCCTTGCCTAGCCCTGCAAATCAGCGCGCGTTTCCTTGGTCGGTGAGAAGCTCTCAGTTTCTGCGCTGTCCAAGCTAATGTGAGCAAGACAGAAGTGCTCTCCAGCGTTGGCTAGCCTATCCTTGCCGAGCGAGGCAAGACGAGATTCCTAGGCAAACTAAACAAACGCGCCCTTCACCTCTACCACCTCCCATCCTCTCGTCCGACTCCAACGGCGAAATGTCACCGTCGTTACTACCTGAGACCACCGCTATCTCTAATCCCAATTATGTTCTCCGATTCCAGAATAAGTACCCACGGTGAAATACCACCTCTACCACCACCCACGACTGTTGTTGTCCCTAATCATAGCATCCATGTCCTTCTCTCAAGCCAATGCCCCCGCTGCTGATACCGCCTAACCAGCCTCTCCCACTGCCCTAGGACAGTGTCTCCGCCACCCCACCCCCCTTATCGTCTCGTCTGTCACCACCTATAGCTCGTCAGCCTCCCCAAAATCCCCTTTCGTATAACACAAAACCCCCAGCCCTAAACGCGAATAGCCTGACCACTAACCTGACTCGGGGTTACTGAATCCGCTCAACTTGTCATCAGAGGAGGGCTTGGGGTCGTCAGATGTGTTTGACATGTTGGAGGAGGAGAGCCTGGAGTCGCCGGAAGGAGACACCGGATCCTTGTCAGCCATGGATTTGAGAGGAGAGAAGAAGAGAAAGGTGAGAAAGACAAAGGAAGCAATGGAAGATGAGTGTGCAGAGTGCGAATTTGTCCAGCCGAGACAAGATAAAGCACTATTAAAGGCTTTATCTATCTATTTGTATATCTAGATCTATATCTATATCTATAACTAATATTAAAAATAAAAATTTCTTCCTCTCATCTCCTACTTTCTCTCACTGTCCGTTTCTAAATTATTATGATTATTATATAATTGTTCATATCTATACCTAATATTAAAGATTTTTTTTGTCTTTTGTCTCTTGCTTTTTCCTCCATAGTCTATCTCTAAATAGCTATGGCTATTATATAATAGTCCATATCCATATCTATATCTACATCTATACCACATAATAAAAGGCGAAATTTCTATAGATAATATGCAGTAATCCATATATATATCTGTATCTTTATCTATACGTACACGCATATACTTGTGTGTATCTCTCTCTACACACACCTAATATTAAAGTACAAAAATCTATTTCTTCTCTCTCTCACCCCTCTTTTGTCCATCGGTTCGACGTCTCTCACTCTCATCCTTCTCATCTTGGGTTTGAAGCTGCAAGACCTTTGTTGGTATCACACCACTCATGTTATGTTATGGTTGTACGAGTCCGTCCGTATCGCGGCGCACATGTGGGCATGTGGCTCGCCTTCCACCCCTATTTAAATTGGCTAATCTCATGTCAATTTCCTATACGAGATTAATCGTTTATTGCACTAACATTTTATTGTAGGCATTGGGATTTATTTAATTTAAGGTTGGACCAAGCTCAATTAAAACTAATAAAAATAACTAATCCATCATGAACATCATGCAACATATTATACGAACCCGATTTGTTTGTTAGCAATGTATATTATAAGTATATGTAGAAGAAGAGACCAGAGTGAGCGTGTTGCACGAACACTGATGACAATACGGATACGTATTATGCATTTTGAGGCATTAAAGTATGATGAGGAAGTTGTTCAGACGAAATAACGAAGGAGACCTGACCGGGCATTGCTTGCCAGTTGCCACCCGGTGACGTGTGTCCTGATGCAAATTATTTGGTCACGAACTTGTTCCAAAATATTTATGGGCACGGCAAGGCTGCAATTATGTGATGTTAGCGGATGCCTGCTGCGCCGATTAAATATAGACTATCATTGAGCAAGCAACCGAAGGAATCTCGAGAAAAGAAGTGCAAAATTACGAGGATGGAACGGGGAATCAGCTGTTTTACTGTGGCTGGCAGTAAATCGCACAGGAACATCCCGATAGCACGAGGATAGAGGGGGCGTGGAAAATCTGGAAATGGTTGGATCAGAGTGCAACAAAGGGTTCATGTGGTTGTGTAGGCGCAGCAAACTTGAGCCGCTCCCCTTCCCTCTCTGAACAACGCATTTGTCCTCTTCAACTTGCCCTCTGCTAGAGAACGGTCGCCTCCTTTTCTTTGACACGACTTCTCGTTGAACCAACACCTGTCGATTTTTTCTTGCATGGGAGATCACACTTGTCAAGACTTTGCCATGCGAAAATTTCACCGGGCAATTGCATGCGTGTTTCTTGATCGGCAGGAATTGGACTCGGCAAAGGAACGAAGCTAAACAACAGCTTCGCAAGGTCAATGAGACGCTGGGGGACAGATTAGTATTGCCACTGCCAGGCACAAATCATTTGGGTGTCCAATTATTGGAGCAAATCATTTGATAATGGCCTTGATGGGCCACGTGGCGTCCGCACCCATTTTCGGCTGGCGAACGGGCCGACGCGTCAATACCCACATCATATAATAAATATATATAATACGTACGCCCATCGTAATAATCCTAAAAAAGGAATAACTCCAGGAAAAAATAACTCCCGGTCGAAATGAAATGGTGTCCCGTCGTGGTCCCTGGGACGAGACAAAACTGAAAACTCCACGAGGCTAAAGGCCCTATTCATTTTTTTTATAATTCTATATTTTCAACTTGTTTTTTCAACTGAAACAGTATTTTTCTTTGACAACCAATCAGCACGAACAGTTTCGAGTGGTTTTCTCAGGAAGCAAACGGGGCCAAAATCGTGTGCTCGCCGTCGAGTCGTACTGCCCGAGCCAACGGGGTGAGAGCACGGCGCGAGGCAGATTCGCTCCGGTCATTGGTCGCTGCGGGATCGCGGGGGACTCGGCTGCCACTGCCCACTGCCAGGGTTGACATCAAGCGGCCGCGACAGGCGCGCGGGTACGGGCACGCGTATGTGCGCGCCCCGCGTTGGGTGGCCGCGGCGCGTGCGTCGTGGCATGCCCGCGCCCGCGCCCGCCCGCGCCACCCGTTCGCTCGCGCAGTGGACCGTGGGATGGCTTGCTTGGTCGTTGGTCCCCGTACGTCCCACGCCTGGCGCCTCCCACAGTCCCCCCGCGCGCGCACGGGGTGCTCGCCTGCTCGGTGCGTGCCCTCCCTGCGGCAGCGGCACTAGTGGCTAGTGTGCGGTCGCACCGCTTCCGAGCCTGCCATACGACCTAGTACGACGCGCGGTGCGTGGTTGGATTCTGCATGTGACTGAACAGGGGGCGGGGCGCTCGCTCTCGACGCGTCCACCACGAGACTCTCGAATGCGACGGGTGGAGGATGGCGCGCTCGTACCGCTGCCACTGCTGCTAAAGACTGCTTGTGGTTTCAGTAGAGGTTCTCGAAATATCTGGCGTCTCCGAGACTCCGGCGATCGAGGTCGATCGATCCGGCGAGACGATATCCGACACGTAAGTTATGGCGAGGTGACTGCTGGCAGATGGACGGACCCGTGCTTCGTCGGTGACAGTTTTTTTTTTTTTTGTTAGAGGATACGTTCACACGGCTAGTCATTTTCATTTTCACTGGTTTGTAAGTACTAGAACAAAAAAATCGCACATTTTAAAGGGAGCCTAAATTTTCTCTAGGACGGGAAGGAGTGATAGTAGACCATTAGACCGAGTCATGCTTAGGGTTTAGGTTGTATGTAGTACAAGTCTAGGTTTGATTTTTTTTAGACAACGAAACGAAGCCTAGCTAGGTTTGATGGGCCACTTTTGATATTAAATAAAACATAGAAAAAAGAATCTATAGCCGCCAATTAGGCTTCTACATAAGCTTGTCTTACCAGGCATCATCACACGTCCTAATTCTCGCTAAACCTAGGCACGTTATTAGGGACTCTAACTAACAAAGGTTAGGCGGCATGTCGATCGTGCATGGAAGTTAGGAGTATGAGTACTGTAAGGCAGAGCGAGGCCAGAGCCACCGGCCGCAACAAAAGCTCAAATATCTTTGGCCGCTATAGTACGAGACCAGTACCACGGACATGGCTGCGTGAGATTCAAGCGCACCGGGCACTAGCAGGCAGGCAGGCAGGCAGGCGTCAATAATTCCGCTGCCTGCCGCGCTGCCAGTGAGCTGCGACGCACAACAACAACATGCCAGGCAGGCAGCCTTTGCCGTATTGCACTAGCATTGGACATTGGAATGCAGGTCCGTCCACAGAATATGGTCGGCAATTCTTCGAAAAGTATCCTACGAAGATAGTTTATCGGCAGAGGAGCGTGAGATCGAGAACAATAAAACAACAAAGACACATAAGTTAGACAGGTTCAGACCATCAGTATGACGTAATACCCTACTTATGTGGTCTGTTGGTTTATATTAGCCATCGTATGATATTGCGTGCGTTAGGAGAGGGTCCATGTCCGTCTTATATAGTTCGAGGAGCAGGGTTACAAGTCGGTTAGATCTAAGAGATAACCGAAAAGTAATAACTGATTACAGAAATCTTGGGATCATACATATCCTAACAGATCTCGTAGTATCTTCAGGATATCTTCCAGATGTCTTGCGGGAGCCGCCGAGCAGAGTCGTGCCCCGCAAGGCGTCGTCTTGTGGGCTGGGCCGTCCCTGGGAGCGCAGCCCATGTGGTCTGCCGTGGGTATCCGGGGTCGTACCCCCCACAGCTAGTCCCCGAGTGTCTTGTACCCGTTGTGCAACGTCGTTTTGCGCTTGTCCAAGCAGGTGCGAACAAAGCCGAGCAGTAAAACTCATGATCCGACCACCGTGATGAGTTGTCGAGCAGTTACGAGCAGTTGCCGAGCAGCGCGGACCACAACCGAGCAGTATGATCCAAACACGGCTTGCCATAAGGGTGTAAGAAGCTCAAGTTCAGAATCAAAAATTTCCTCGTAGTGGACCAAGTGTGCCCACTTAGAGTCTGACCACGCGAGTAGGAGATAATCTTCTTCAGCCTCAAGGGGCGCGGAGTCTGTTAGAAAAAAGCATGCACATTCACCGCGAGGTGAAGTGTGCCCACTTAGTCCCCAAGCCTGACAGTAGATGACGTAGTCATTTGGTGCCAGGGTACAAAATAGAAAACCAGCCGAGTAGGCAGCCAGTCCCTGGGTGTAGACCGAAAAGCACATTCACCGCAAGGTGAAGTATGCCCACTTAGTCCCCGAGCCTGACAGTAGGTGACGGAGTCACGTGGTGCCAAGGTCAGAAACAAAGAAATAGTGAAAAACCAGCCGAGCAGGCAACCGGTCCCCGAGCCGCAAGCGGAGATATCGGGAGAAATCCAAACGTGGAGAAAAAACCGGAGGAATGGCTGTACAGCAACGGTTGCTGAGCCTCAATAAATGGCGGAGAAGTCAGCGATTATTCGGCGAGTAACAATTGACAGCGACGATAAATGAGCGACGTGGGCTGCGGTTGCGTGAAAGCTCAGGTTACGGCCTATTAAGCAGCGCCAGAGAATTCAGAGGAGCGCAAATCGCGGGAATGGTTCCCCAAAAACCCTCGAATGCGAAAGGGTGGGGAAAGTCCTTTATAAATGCGCCGCCGCATCCCACGTTCCCATGTTTGCCACTCTGCCATTTCGTCTTCATCCTCAAACCTCGTGTATCTAGATTCGCTTCCACATTTGCTTCTGCCGCCGAACCCCAATCCCATCGGAGAGATGGCGTCGAAGAAGGGAGCAGC